AAAAAAGGTTTTTTGTTAAAAATTTTCTATGGAATCATGCCTAAATATTACGTAAGATATGGAAGGGGGATCAAAGAAAATATTATGGTTTCTTACACCGGGGTGGGTGGGGTGGGTGAATGGCCAAAATTGCCCTTACATAATTTATGGATGGCCCCTAACAATAAAAATTTTAGTAAAAAATTTTTTTTCACTTATCATAGACCCACAAAAACTGCTGCAGAAAATCATTATCTTATGCATGAAATTCTGTACAAGTTTTCATTATAATCATATGATTGTATGCATAATGCAACAATTTTCCATTCAAATATCATTATAAATGATGTCATGAGAGTCTTAAGTGATTGCTGCAAGAGTAGTCATGACATGATGGGCTGCAAGTTGAAACAACCTTGAACACTTGTCTCCATATGATTGTTTGAGATGATATGGCCTTTAACAATTTAAATGTTTTTATGGCTTTATTTTGTGCTCAAAAAATATAGAAAAGTCATTTTAGGTCCTTCTGAGAAATACCTTGCCTTTTTGTCATTTATTTCCAGATGAATTCATTTCACATTAGCCTATGCTACTGCAAAGTTTAAAGAGCTCCCATAGGAAATTCTGTCAAGGATATTGTTCTGTGAACAAAACATTATCTTATAAATTAAACAACATATGACATTGAAATTTGGCACATACAGAGAAGACACATTACAGGATTTTTCAGAATCATCAAATTTGAGGAATGGCAATTATGCACAATGCAGTTATGTATGAGAAACTGCTGCATTATGCATGTTTGTGTATTAAGAAACTACATGTGATCTCAGGTTAAAGGCTAGAATATAATTATGAAATAATAAAATATATTTGAAATTAGCTAATTTTTGTAAAATTTTGAAAAATGCATTTTATATTTTGTAAAATCTTATATATTCTTTCTCTCTTTCTCAATTTTATTATAATTAAAAGTTTATGAAACATGTTATAATTATGAATCTGACTGGACTTAAGATAAAATTGGAAGGCGATAGTTATCTTATTAAATGTTTACATTAGGGTTAAACATTTAATTCTGCCTTTGTATACTAAAGGAAATTTAATATTATTATTTTAATAGAATTTGTTTTGATGTTATTTTTTAATCCATTAGTTATATCTTATTAAAAAGAGGATGAACAAGTAATAAGGAAACATTTTGATATACATTTATTCAAACTTTTTTAAATTCATTTCTTCATGTAATATCTGTAATCTCTGGCACATTCTATACATTAGAAATGGAAAAATTTTTGCCATCAGATTTTTGAGTTTTTGTTGTTAGCTATAATTCATAGTAAGCTTTAATGTTTTTGTTTATTTTTAGGGTTCCTTATTATTAACTTTATGTTGCTCTTAATGATTTAAATGGTATTTCTAATATTTGTAACTGTATCATGTGTTAATTTTTGTTTTTTGTTTCACTTCATTACTTGATGTTAATATCTATCTTTGTTCTATTTGAAAGCTTGATGTGTTTTATTGATATCTATTAGGAATTTTTGTTTTGATATTTGTTTTTAATCTTTTGTTAATGTTTTTGTGATATGATAACAGATATTTGTTTTGAAGTCTCAATGTGTTAATTCAAGACTTCAAAATCATTTATTTATACAATGTTATAATTTACAGCACTTTTTTTTTACAATATGCATTTCTATTCTTTGTCTCTATCAGTTGTCACTAATGAAATTTATAATTTAATTCAAATTAAGGTAAAATGTTTACAATTTTACAAAACTGACTTGCATCTTATGAGCTGCAAATGATAGTGATAAGTCATATTCAATACAACTAAATTTTTTTTAATACTTTTTTCCTTCTAGAAATTGTATTTAATAAAAAAAATGCTGTTTCTTTTCATGTTGAAAACATTTAATTAAAAAGCAGTATAATAGAAAACTACAAAAAGTTAGTTTCCTGAAAATGAACAATTACTAGATAAACGTACATGCATTATCAATATAGTAGCCTATATTAAAAAATAAGCGAGTATGATTTTTAAATTTATTGAGTAAGTTTAATTAAAATATTAAAGAATAGAGTATGCTAGATAGATTGTAAAAAGAAGCAAATAAGTTTATAAAATATGAAAATATATATCAGTAAGTCATATAAAAAGTTAATAATGTGTTTTCTTATAAATATAAATATCTGAGAAAAGTAGAAAGACATTTATTTCATAAGAAATTATACAATTATGCAAAAAATAGAATGTTTAGAGATAGAACATTTCCACATTCTATTTCTAAATGTTTGATATCCTAATAATAGGCTATTAAGTAGACCAGGGCTTCTTAAACTATGGGTTGTGACCCCATTCGGGGTCACTTAGCAAAATCTTGGGGTTGCGAGATTTTAATGCAAAATATTGAAAATAATTTGTGAGTTTGAAAATGGCACACTTTGTGCGATAGGTTTTGTGATTTGCACTTTTTGTCATTTCTGGTGCAGAGATACAATGATTCAGCAACACTGTAGTGTGAACTAGTGTAGTGTTGTTGCTTTTCAGTGTATTCAGTTGTCTCTGTTCCATTGTAACACAAGAGTAAACTGTGGTAGTACACCATTATTGTTTTTGTAAATTTGTATATATCTGTATTTTATATTTTTTGGGTTGTGAAAAAAATCACAATCATAAATGGGGTCATGAATAAAAGTTTAAGAAGCCCTGAAGTAGACTGAAAATGTTAGATTTTCAGGAAAACAACTTGTTTGTTTGTTTGTTTGCTTGCTTGCTTAAAAATAGGTTAACTTGTAAGATGTTTTTAGTTATTTGTGAGAGTTAGCATTTAACAACTTTCTGAGTCTTCCTGGATTTATAAAAAGGTGCTAACTTTTATATAAATCCAAAAATACAAAATATTTTGAATATGGCATGAATGATATGATTTTGTTTTATCAGTTTTATGGACTTAGTTTTAATTAAATTAAAAACAAAACTGGATTATAGAAGTTTGTGTGTATTAAGTGTGCAAAATAGCTTTTATTTTTAATTTTAAATATCTATAATTTTGTAAAATGTTTGTTAATTAAAACATAAAACACATGCTATTTATATAACAATTTAATATAAAAGCATATTTAAAAAAATTGTAAACATTTCATGATGATTAATTTTTTACATTTGTAAGAAGTCTATCATTTGAAAAAATATAATTGTGAACAATGTAAAATTGCTTATTTAAGAATTAAAAAGTTTTAGTACTTTTCAGTGGAAATTTGATAAAGACAAATTTTAACCAATTACAGTACAAGCTGATAGTGCTTTTGCTTGTCTTGGTTGTGTAACAAAATTCACAGACTAAATGTGTTTTTATCAAAGGATGGGTTGTGTGTAAGCAGCTCGTCCATCTGGCAATTTATTGATAGATTTGGTGTTATTTCAAGTCATTTGCTGATTTTGCAAAACCTTTTCTTAATTAGAAGACAAAGTCTGTCAGAAAAAGTCACTTTTTATTCAGTTTTGTGTTCTGCAATACATTCCAATTATATTCCTGATCCTTTATTTTAGACTATTTGGTCACCAAAAAAATTTTAAAAAATCCCATTAAAATATGAAAAAATATTTGATTAAAAGATAAAACACTTTAAAAATTAGTATGGAAACAAAAACAGATGTCTTCTTTCTCCTCCATCCATACTACATTGGAATTATACTGTTGCTTGAATCTTTTAAGTTCAGCTCTGATTTTTTAAAGCACTTTTAAAACATCAGAAATTTCAACAGAATATGAAAGTGAATAAAAGAAATGAAATAACTTTTTCAACTGGCTTTGTCTTCAATTTTAATTAAATCTAAATGATCTGCTGAATCAAGATATTTTTAGGCTAAGTTACTAATTAGTTACTAATTAATTTGCCTATAGGTAGGTGATTACGCTACCACCTTGTATGAATTTTAATAATTATAATAAATTAATTTTTAATTTACAAATTTTGGGAAGAAAAGTTTGGTTTTAATGATTAAATTGTGTTATGAGTTGTTATTACTTCAATTTTATTTAATAATAAATTACTATCTGGAATTATTTTTAAAATTTAAAAAAAGTTTTTCAATTAACAATTTTTTATTCTATAAATTTATTCAAAATGTGTTCAAAAGTTTTTTTAAAAGCAGGACTGGAGTCAATCTAGCAAACTAAACTCTGGGTAACAATTATAATTGCTTAAGGCTGGAATTAGAAAGGAGCCTCCAAATTGATTTGTAAAATTTTATTTCTTTATATTTGAACTTAAATGGTTAGTGAATAAAATTAATAGTTTAAACCAGTGCACTTTCAAGCTTTTACTTATTACCAACATCTATCAGGTATGGATAGAAACAAGTGCATCAAATTGGATTGGTTGGAAAATTTTTGGTATTGGGACTGTATTATCTCTAGTGAGAATATAACAGCAAATTACTTGTTATAGAAGTATGTGTGGAATCAAAAAGTAATGCTTCCTCAGTCACCACAATTTTATTAATGAACAGATCAAAGTAAAAATAACGTAATATGTTGTTTTTGCTTTAATCTGTTCATTAAAACAGGAGCTTTTAGGATACAATATAATATATTGTAACCTGAAATTTTCTGTACATAAAGCTACTGTTTTATGTTGTCATGATTACTTTCAATACATTTATGCCATTGTCAAACCCAAGTATTAAATCTAGTTTGGAAAAATTCTAGAGTTTATTTCTTAACCCATGACTTCACAGCTGATTTAACTTCTTCCAAGTCTTCAAATCTGTAACAACATAGACTGTCCTTCATTGTCCCAATTAGGTAGAAAATACCAAATACCCATGGTGCCTCATCCACTATACAATCCAAATCAGGGCTATACAGTAGATGAGGCAACATGGATCACTCCAATATTGGCAATCACCTGGGTTGTGAACAATGACATGAGTGGTCTTGCATTATTGTGATAGAGTTGTATGGAATGAATGACAAATAATGAACACACTAACCTTACATTTTTTTCAGCAGGATGATGAAAAAACACAAATCTGCTGGGAGAAACATAAGGTTAGTTTGTTTGTAATTTTATTTACTTGCCTTTATTTTATTTACTTCCACAAAACTGTCTGGTTTGTGAAAGAGGGGAACATTTAGGAATGAATATCTTTACATGATGTCTTTGTCCTGGGTTGTGATGCATCTGTCTCCTTGAATCAACTCATCAGCACATTGTCAGTTCTCATCTGTGACTGATGTTGTTGGATGACCACTTCTTAGTTTATCTACAATTTCAATTTCTCCTCCTTGAAATGTCTTCACCTAAGCCCACACATTTCTACTGTTTGCTACAGTGTCCCTATAAACTTTTCAGCTGATTATGAATTTCCTTAGGTGCTCATCCCTCTCTGATCAGAAACTCAATTATTGCTTTTTGTTTTAGTCTCATATCTATGGTTGAAATTGCTCAGTATGAAAAACAAAAGCATATATTTGTAACATCTTAATTTTTTTTGAGAGCTTGGATAAATCTAACGTTGCATTACATAAATGAGGGTTCTGTTAGTGCCAGGCCTGAACTAACAGAACCCTCAGACTTTACATGTGCAATAAATAATGAAAATTATTAATGAATCAAAAAATCTGAAAAATAAGTATTATATGTATGAATAAAAAGTAGTCTATTTATTATTCTAAGTCTGAATATATACAATAATGAAATAAAGAAAATTCAAAAATATAATAATAGATATTTTATTGAATCAAAAACAAATATGTACAAAAAAATTTCTTGACATTTAGGGACTTGAAAATTATTAACTTATAACTATCTTATTATTATCTCCACAAAACTGACAAGACTATTTGAATTGAACTATATCGAAAATTCACAAAGAATTTTTATAACTTAAATTCACCTGTCACAAGAACTTCTACATTGTCAAAGAAACTTGAAAGCATTTCCTGAAATCTCACCCAATCCTTAACTCCACCTCATTTGATCTCTAACTTCACCTCCTCCTTGTAGTGTAGTTGGTGACATTACATGAATATGCCCACTTGACTGTATTTACAATCTTAAGTTTCTAACATTAGTTCAAATTCTAGTAATAATTTCTTTATTTCTTGTCATCTCCCTTACAATAATTTTTTTTAAAATTTTTGTTGTAACTTTTAGTGACAATTTGGGGTGGGAGATCATTCTTTTAACTTTCAGTGGAAGTCTCCTCCTGAGATGTTGTTTCCAGTTCAGTGACATAATTGGTTGCTGCAACAGTTGTCATAGTAAGGTTAGTTTTAGTTTTTTAGAATATTGATCAGGTGAGGTGTGGTAGTCCATCCTTAATGAAATAAAATGCCCCAAAATAAATAGAATAATGAACTAAAAATAACCTCCAAACAAAATAGAATGGGTTGGAATCGACTCCTGACACATTAAAAAGTTAAAGATCATACGTGGATGTTTATAATAACTAGTACTAATAGATCAAACATTAGACATGGACGCAGTACTTTTTGTTTCCCTTTTTTAATAGCATTAACAAAAACAGTTACACCAAAAGTATGAGTATTTTTGGATCAGACTAACAAGTAAGATAATTCATCTGGACATCATATTAATGCTGTAGAGCATGACTGTTCAGAGGATAATGAGGCCTAGAGAAAAATACATATTTGGAGGTTCTACACCAAATTAAATTTGTATAATATATAGTATGTATACATTGGTGTAATATAATCACCTAGTTTTAAGACAAAAATTGTTCAAAAAAGTTAAAATTTTTATAAAATTTAAAATTTAGTTTATATACAGGTAGCCCTCGGTTTACGCTGCAGTTCCATTCCTACGAAAGCCAACGCAAATCGAATCGGCGTAAAATGAACTCGTATTTACAGTAAGGTATAGGGTTAGGTTCTACATAAGTGAAAAATAAGCTAATAATTTTGTTTATTAATACAATATAATATAAAATACATATAAATTTAATTTTTAAAATGTATTTTAACATAAAATAAAATGTTTTTATTTTAAAATTTTAGTTTCAAATTTCTTACATTTTTTGGAAAAAAGTATCCATCTTTAATTATTTACATTTTTGATTTCTTTCATTAAGAATTTTGGAATATGGTCGAATATGATGCTTTTTTTTACATTTGCACTTCGCTCCCAACATTGTCTAACTCACAAACTTCATTCGTCAAACTTTCCTTAGTTGAAAGGATACGTTAACCCGACGTAGAGCTACAGATGAGCAAAGGCACTGATTGGTCGACCACTGGTGGCCGTAGCGCATATATAAGGTCAGTTTGAGCGGGAAAATTCAAGGTGGCTAAGGAGAGATAAATATCGTCTGGCCAACGAGAAGTAGATTTGTCTCACTAACGATAATTTGTGATCGCTGGAAGTGCTATTGTGTCGTAAGGTGTTTTCCTGAATGAACTGATATGGGATACATTCATTGGCGCTATGGATTCGGACGCTATTTATTGGACTATTAAGTTTAATATGTTGACTCGTGGGTACGTTTAGTATTTTAATATTAATTTAATGCAAATGTATACATACCCAATAATATTAAACAGAAAAAATAAACATATTTAATAAAAATCTTTGTTTTAACGAATGTACAGTACAATGTCGTGGCTCGGTAAATATGTCAACACTGAAATGAAAATCAGTCTAGCATAAGAAAAATTGGGGAATTACAGCTTGAAACTGTGAATTGCGCAGCGGCATTATTGTGAATCAGTGTAAATTGAACTGGCGTAAACCGAGGGCTACCTGTATATTATTCAAATATTTTTTATTTTATCAATATTGTGTTGGCCTTTTTTGAGGACCAGGGAAATTTGCACCTTTTGTCTGGGCATTCTTGCTCAAGAGTAGGAGAGTTATTACAGTAGAGCATCAGACCCCCGATTAATTGTCACATCAGTTAACTGACCGTTCTAGTCGGCAAATTTCAAATGTCCGCTAGTGATGTGGCACTACAATATTTGGCTATGTCTTGGCTACTTTAATATTATTTTTGTTAAATTTTTGCATGTTTTAGCTGGCAACACCAGCTTGATCATTGAAGGGAGGCCAGTATTTAAATGAGACTTAATTTCTAATTATGAGTGGTTGTTTGTTTTGTGAGCAATAAAATAATTAAAAAATAATTTTTAATGATACAATAGCAATGATTATTATTTAAAAAAAATTGTTAGGCCTAACATTGATGAAAATTCAATGCAAAGTTGGTTAATAGCAATATACTAATTACATGGGATATGTTAATATACTATACTATCAATAATAATGTATATTTTTTCATTCTTTTTGGTTATCTGATTTTTTCAGTTATCCAACCAACCTGAGTGTCCAATTGAGTCAGACAATCGATGCTCTACTGTAATTGCATGTTACCAAGAGCTGTTAGTAAATGTACAAAATGAAGGAAACATTTTTGACTTGTTTAGTTCAAAGTTAAAAATCCAGCAACAAGTTGCTTAACTTTCCTCACAACATCTAAAACTGCATGTATTGCATCATCTGTTAAGATATTTTATTATTAAAAACTTTTTATATTTTTAAATATTATAAAATGGTATAAAGCTTAATTTTGAGAGTAGGGATGTGTTCTATAAAAAATTGTAAATGCTAATAATGAGGAAAATCGTCATTAAGTCTGACCCTACTCGAGATATGACACATGGCTTTCCACCCACTCAATCTTTAATCACCAAAATTTAATAGCATCAATCCCCCTAATACACAATCTTCCTGAAAAATTTCAGAAATTTTTGACAAAAAGCAGAGAAGTTATTAAGCTTCAAAGAGAGTGAACAGAATCATTCCACACACACAAATGCTCTCACTTAACATCCATACATACAGAAAAATTCCCAAATATTTTTGCATTTATTATTTCAAGGCCCCCTAAGTCCAAAAAAAGTAAAAATCTTGGGTGGTAATTTTTTTTGCTGATTGACATATTTTTCCTCTGCTATATATAACAAAGCTGGAAAAGTAAAAATCAGGTTTAGATATTAGAGTGCAAGATGATGAATGTTTGATACAATCTTTATGTAAACAGTTTGACACATTTATTTATTTCTATGTTTATTTCTGTTAAATTTAAGCAAATGTTAAAATAGATATTTATATTAAATTTTTTATTTTNGAGGCCAGTATTTAAACGAGACTTAATTTTCTAATTATGAGTGGTTGTTTGTTTTGTGAGCAATAAAATAATTTAAAAATAATTTTTAACGATACAATAGCGATGATTATTATTTTAAAAAATTTTTTTGTTAGTTTACATTTAACTAATTAATAGCGATATACTAATATACTAATTACATGGGATATACTAATATACTAATTACATGGGATATACTAATATACTATACTAATAATGTATTTTTTTCATTCTTTTCGGTTATCTGACCAACCTGAGTCCCCAATTGAGTCGCATAATTGATGCTCTACTGGATATGGATATTGAAATTTGGATTCTAAATCCATTTCACTGGTCCATCATTGAAATCTGTTTGCTAAAGTTGTTGTAAAGGATTTTCTTAAAGTAGGTAAAAGAGCTATTGGTCGGTAATTATTAGGAAGGAGTTTTATCTCCCCTTTTTGAATATCATATAGAGATAAGCAGAATTCCATGAATCAGGATATAAAAGTGTGTTGTACATTTTATTAAATAGATCAAGTAACTTAAACCTTGCTGAATTTTGGAGTAATTTAAGAAATTTAATTGTGATATGATCACTTTCCAGTGATGAATTACTGTACATCCTATTGATTGAGTCATTTAATTCTTCCATTGTAAATTTTGAAACTAGATATTCGTTATGAAGTGGTTTTATAGTTGAATAGAAGATTGTCCATCTGTAGAAGTTTGTCCATGTTTCAAAATTTATTTTTGGAGAATTGTTGCTGGATCAATGTTAGTTTGTAATTTTTGAATTGTTGACCAAAAATGTTTACTTTTTCCTTTGGCATTTATTAGAATAGTTTCCAGCTTTACAAAGTATCTTTTCTTTTTCGCTTTAAGTAAGTTATTATAGATTTGCTT